ATTAATTATTTCGTTTAATGGAATACAATATATACCGTTTTGCGTTATGTTTTGTTTAATGATACATCATATATTTTGTTAAACGTTACGTTTTGTTTTGTGTTATTTATTTATTTACGTTTATCGTTTTCCGTTATAATTACGTTTACAAATTTCAATCGTTTTTTATCAAATATAACGTTATAATCATAAATTAAAATATAATAAAAACCCTATGAGACGCCCTAGATGATAATATTACCTTTAAACTTTATAAGAGGTCAATTCAATCTAGTTTTTAAACTAACAGAGCTAAACGTAATCTGTTGAGCGTATAATTTGCTATGTTAGGCACTTGTAAGATGGAGACAATAAATGTATCGGTGTAACAACCTTTTCATTCTAGCACCGACATTTATATTGATCATTAACATATATTATTTAATATTATGTTATCGATATTACTTGTAGTACACAATTCGCTTATTTTTATTTATATTATTATTGTTGTTCTTTTAGTAGGTATTTAAGAATAATATTTTGTAAGTTATTTAATTGTGTTCTGTATCATATTTAGATTATTTTTAATTATTAATATTTTTTTTAAGATTTTAACTTATATATTTTTCTCTTCGACATTATTTATTAAATTTATGTTGTTAGTTATTAGAATATTTATTACTAGTATATTAGAGGTCATAACTTGTATTAAATAAAACTATATAAGCTAACAATATCTATATAAATTATTTTTGTGATGATTTAATTTAACTATTGTTAATAAAATGTTCAACTTTTTAAGACAAATGAATAGAGNTGTTATAAAAGCTAACTGTCTTAAGAATTCTGGATCCTGAAACTTCTCTTCCAGTTCAGTTGTATCGGATGAAACGTATTTATTAAGAAATGGAGGTATTTCCTTTCTTATGGCAAAAAATCGTTCCATGCACTTTCCTGCACTCAGCCACCTTACATGGTTGTACATTAGCAAGTCTTCATACTCAGCCTCTGTGTCCACTAAAAACTGCCTAAGTTGCCTGTGTAAAAGGGATCGATTTCCACCTCTAATCATATTTATAATTTTAATCACGGTCTGAAAAACTTGATCCTGCTTGACTGATTTTCCACATAAAGCTCCCTGATGTATAATACAATGTATTGTCTGACAAGTAACACCATTCTCTCTAAGCAGACCCACTAATCCAGTTTTTTTACCAGTCATTGATTTGGTCCCGTCTGTTGCTATGGCTGAACATTTATTAAAGCCTCCAATTCTGTCTACTGTTTTTTTCAGAGCCTCATAGACGTCTTTTCCTTTTGTTGTTCCATAAAGAGGACAAATATCAAATAGCTCCTCTTTACTAGTAAAATCTTCAAAAGTAGTGCGCACGAATATCAACAGCTGACTAACATCTGATTGATCAGTGCTTTCATCCAGACTAAGTGAGAAATATTAACTTTTTTTAACCAGGCTAAGCATAGAGTTTTCTACTTGCTCACCCATAGCAACAACCCTTCTTTGTATGGTTTGATGTGAAAGTTGCACTGATTCAAATCTCTCCGCCATTTTGGAATCTTCAAAAGCTTTGGCCATTTCAACGGCACATTTTTTAATTAAATTGGCATCAGTGAAAGGTTTTTTTGCCTTTGCCAGCTCAAGCGACACGGCATAAGATGCATGCAAAGAATGCGTTTGAGATCGCAATATTTTACTAAACATACCAGTTTGCTGTTTAAGCTTTTTCTTCAAATCTGCAACTAACGCACGCCGACTTTCATTTGTATACGTAGCATACTTCTTTTCATGCATTGTTGTGTAGTGTCTTCTCACATTATATTCTTTAGGCACAGAAACAATATTCATGCACACTAAACACTGCAACTTTCCATTATTGTTAGCAATCAAGTAATCACTCTCCCAACTTTCTTTATAACTCCTGTTCTCAATGTCAATTTTACGTTTTACACTCATAATTGTATTGAAGTTTAAGGAATCAAGACAAATAATGAACTAATTAACTAAGATACGTAACAAACAACACGTCGAAGCACACTGGCGCGTAGCGGCTGACGACGCGAAGGACAATTGACAGTTTATTATGACTAATTAAAAATAGAACACATATAAAACCCGCACACTCAGTGGCGTAACGATAGGGTGGCATGACGGGCAATGGGCCACGGGCCCACGACTCTAGAGGTTAGGTTCAAGAAAAAAATAGTACATTCAAAAACAAATCACCATTAGTGAAATTTATAAATACGATTCTGTTTAAAAATATATGTATATTCTTGTAAAATAAAATAAATTTAACAACTGATCACGATTATACTTATAGATATTTTATTTACCAGTCCGTCGACATTGTCGATATTAATATTATTATATTGTTATATTTTGTAGAATGGAAATAACAATGAAGCGTATCGCAATCGCTTGTCTTTGAAACCGAACGTAACATTTATATTTTATATTTAGATACTAGATTAGATTAGAACTATTCTAAGAAAAAGTGACCGTCGTTTAGTCGTTGTTACTCGATGTTCTTTTAATTTATATTTTATTTTGTTATTAGTCAATGACGTGTCGTTAATCGTAGAGTGTAGACCGATTTTGTTTTCGCCTTCTGCTGTGAATCAGTGATTCGTATTCGTATAGGTATTGTGATCAATCATGTCGAAAAAAATACCTAGTGGGTATGAAAAGCGTAAAAAAAAAACGGAAGAACAAGAAAAATTATTAAAATTGCCTAAAATTAGTAGTTTTTTTTCTAGTACCACTCCTTGTGAAAATAAAAGTGAAATAATAATTAAAAGTGTTAATACCGAGGTTAATAGTGAACAAAGTGTTGAACTTAGTTCTGTAGATAGTGAAAAAAGTGAAGTAACCGCCCCAGAAATGTTGTCATGCTGTTTATATAAAGGTACGAATCAAAATAAATCTTTTGATATTGTTTTTAAAAATATTATTGAAACTTCTTCTGATCCGACGGATATTGGACATTTTAAAGAAATCGTTTTAGATGCTCAAACTAAACGGTTCATAATTGAAAATGGGCATAGTAGACCTAAAGCTAAAGGGCCTTTCGCTAAAAATTCAGACGGTAGATCTTTTTCTGAAAAGTATTATTTGACAGTGTCCAAATCTGGTTTAAAAATCGAACGTTCGTGGCTATGTTATTCGACTATACTTCAAAAAGCGTATTGTAGGTCATGCTGGCTATTTGGAGATCGCACATCCACTGGCTTTCAAGAAACTACAGGTTATTGTGATTGGAAACATATAGTAGATGGCATTAAAAGACACGAGCAATCACACGTTCACTACATTTCCTGTTTAGTATATGAAAAATGGTTTTTAAATAAAACATTAAACGAAGAACTAGAACAGAGTATAAAAAAAGAAAAATTATTTTGGCGTCAGGTTTTAGAGAGAATTTTAAATATTACTCTTACATTAGCTATGCGAAGTTTACCTTTTCGCGGCCACAGAGAAAAGCTCGGTAGTGGAAAAGGAGAAAACGGCAATTTTATTTGTTTTATTGAGTTACTTGCAAAATATGACCCAGTACTAGAAAAAGTTATTAATCAGGGTAATAATAAAGTAAACTACTGTAGCCCTAAAATTCAAAATGAACTAATACAGTTAATTTCAAACAAAGTCGAAAACGAGTTAATACTTAATATTAAAGAAGCTCCTTTTTTTTCCATTATAATTGATACAACGCAAGATATTTCAAAAGTTGATCAGTTAAGTGAAATTTATCGTTATTGTGTTATAGAAAAAGATGAATACGGAAACCCAAAAAATGTATGTGTTAAGGAAACTTTTTTAGCATTTCATGAAGTTGTTGATCAATCTGCCTCTTCTCTTTCTGAACTAATATTACAGAATATTGAAAAAAAGGGATTGTCTATCGGCAAGTGCCGTGGTCAGGGCTATGACGGGGCTGCCAATATGAGTGGTATGTATAATGGCCTACAAAAAAGAATTAAAGACATTGAGCCAAGCGCAGCTTATGTCCATTGCTCTGCTCATAATTTAAATTTAGTTGTCAATGATGCTGTGAAAGAAATAACAGAAATGGAAATCTTTTTTGATGTTGTTCAACGAGTTTTTGTTTTTTTTGGACATAGTATAGTAAGATGGCGTATATCATCAGATTTAATTAAGGAATCGAACAGTCAAAATGGATTATTAATAAAAAAACTTAATCCCACAAGATGGGCTGGTCGTTATGAAGCAGTTTTTGCGCTTAAAATTAGATTTGTTGAAATTCAAAAAGCTTTAACAAAAGTTATACTTTGCAGCTCTAAGTTAGATGAGCGAAATGAAGCTGAAGGGATTAAAAAACAAATTGAAAATTATAATTTTATTTGCACTTTAGTTTTTCAATGTAAAATTTTACAAATTATAAACCTAACTTCTAAAATTCTCCAGTCAAAGTCAGTTGATTTAGATAATGCATCCAATTTATTAAAAAACTGTTATGAACAATTAAAAGAATATAGATGTAATTTTAATGATCTGTTGGAAGAAGCAAATATAGTTGCTAAAAGTTGGTCTATCTCTACAGAGTTCCAAAACAAACGTTGTAAAGTTGTAAAAAGATATTTCGATGAACTATGTACTGATATGCATTTAACTTGTCCAGAAAGCTTATTTCGTGTTACTATTTTTAATAGAACGTTGGATATATTAATAAGTCAAATAAGTAAACGTTTTTCAAGTTTTCATGAATTAATGCTAAATTTCACATGTTTACAACCATCTTTTCTTACATCAGCAACAGATGTAGAGCTTTTAAATGAAGCTACGAAGTTGGTAAACAAATATGATAAAGACATATCAAAAACATTTACAAGTGAAATTTTAGCTGTAAGATCAACTCTTAAAAATCAAATAAGTCAACTTAAGTCAACTAGAGATCTTGCTCAACTTTTAATGGTGAAAAATCATTCTTTAACAGCCAGTTTCCCAGAAGTATGTACTGCTCTTTTATTATTTTTGACAATTCCTGTTACATCTGCAAGCGCGGAACGGTCGTTTTCGAAACTAAAAATTATTAAAGGATATTTAAGGAGTACAATGATGCAAGATCGTTTAAGTGGCCTGGCGTTAATTTCAATCGAACAAGAAACAGCCCGAGAAGTTGACTTTGAAAATTTAATCGATATGTTTGCCGAACAAAAAGCAAGAAAGAAAAAATTTTGAATATTTAAATTTTGTATTGCTTTATATGTTAAACTAAAAAAATGTTTAATAACATTTTACTATAAAAATAATATCACACTAAACATGTTTTTTATTGTTTGTAACCTTGAAGGGTAGAATTTTGTAGGTGGTTAGTTTTTGTAGGCTATTCCTCATATCTCTTTCTTCCAAATTTATAAAACTAAGGGCCCGATTGGATTATTTTGCCACGGGCATTAAAAGTTCTGGTTACGCCACTGCGCACACTGATAAGTAATAGTCAACACAAAACACTTTTGCTCTTTAGTAAATTCTAGTCATGACTAATCGTGTGTTATTGAAAAGAATCACAGATTATATAATGTTTTTCGAACTTGAATTTATTCGATTATATAATTGTTTTTAAATCGTTTTATATAATCTGTGATAGAACATGCTCTATTAGTCTATTCCGTCAGTCAAAACAAAACAATTGTTATCAGTCAAAAGTCAAATCTAGTTGGATCAGTTGGAATTGCCGTAATCGTTGCAAAACAGTTGTTCGTTATAATATTTTAATATAATTAATAATTATTAAACTGTTTTTGTATGTTATATTTTATACCTATAAGTATATATATTCGTATATACTTATAAATATTTTTATTATGCATTTTGTGTTTTTCTTTTATAACATCTTTTTTTACAATGGTAGCATTTAAAGAAAATACATGATTTCCGTAAAACCTTACGCGGGCCACAGTTAATAGCATCGCGGGCCGCCAGTTGGACAACCCTGCTCTATAGAAATATGGACTACTACTACGGGTTTACTTTCACTGTAGTTTTCAAATCAAAATCAAATACAAAAACATAAGATAAAATTACAATAGACCAATAGACGGATTTCTTATGTTATCTTAACATCATTCATACTTTGGTAAATATCAACAACTGTCCTACCAAATAATCCTATTATGGTTATAAAAATATATAAATATATTAAGTATTTTGAATAATATTGATAAATTTAATAATTGTTGTTTTGTGGCTGACTGATTATAAAATCATAGCCATAAATACGTTTATGTTTAAAATATAAATAGTTAAAAATAATACAACATTATTAAGTATATGTGGTAGGCACCGTACTAATAACGACCGCTCACGAGTGGCGATTAAAACGATTCGAAAATACAATGACTCGAAGTCAACAACAATTTAATAATAATTTTATTATAGTTAATTTTAAAAAATAGTTGAATTCCCTTGTTTCATGGACATCATTCATTAATCATTCATTCCAAATAATTTATATTCGATTATAAACATTTTGATTATTTTGAGATCAAGAATTCATTGTTTTCCAAATAAACGAGATATCATTTGAAAGAATCATTCGATTATAATAGATCATTCGAATAGGTATAATATAATCGAGATTATTTTCATAATCGAAATATCTCGATTATATAATCGATATAATTTTAATAATCGAAATATTTCGATTACTTTCATAATCGAGATATCTCGATTATATATTGATGTGTACCGGCACGTTGTTATTCTTAGTGAAGAGAGCAAGGACGTATTTTAAAAGAATATATGCAAAGACGCTTATTTAATTACTTAAATAAGTGTTTATTATTACGAAAACTACAATGTACTGTATCTTAAATGCTTAATTACTCTAGACTTATAACATAGATTTTCTGTATTACAAATGAGGTTCTGCCTGAGTGCGTATAACTCTACGACTAACCGGGCGGCCGTGACCATGGAGCCCTCTGTGTAACGAC